ACAACCGGCTTTCTTCGCCCGGTTCTCAGGACCGCACTCCTACCCCTTTGGACGACCCCGCCTTCTCAACCTTGAAAGACCCCTCACGGGCTCCTTCAGAGACCCCCCGAGTCCCTAAAAGGGGTGCCATCCCGCCCGCTGTTCTTAGCGGACGATGATTGGCTACCTGAAGCCCAGCGCCAGGCCCCTGGCTCTTTCTACCTTGGCCTTCCGCAGTCCTTGTTTTCAATTCGCCGATGGGCCCGCCTGTCCGCCGGTGGCGTGCTCTGATTGGTAGGCTGCCTTCAACCCCACCCAACCCCTTGGTTTTCCTCGGCCCGTCTTCGGATCGGAGGGGGGGGCGAGTTCGACCGCTCGGCCCCGCCCACCTCCCGGCGCTCGAGTCCCTGAGCCTCGCCCCCTTCCGATTGGATTCAGGACACGCCCATCCGCAGTCCTTTCTCCCCTATTGGCCACCTCAACTTAAAGGTCTACCTATTAAGTTTTGTTCGACCTTCCTCTTAGCCCACCCTACCCTCAGCACCTCTAACTGGCTGCTGGGTCCTTTCGGCGCTCTTATGCCCCGCCTACTTGGGGCCGCCCTCCAACCTTTCTCTCATCTGTACCCTTAAATTCCCGAGCTCCCCGGGCGGGTCGTGAATGTTGATTGGAGGGATGAGAATGCCCCTACCCGGTCCGATTGGCCATGGTCTCCCCGCCTGTGTTCTCCGAGTAACTTCCCAGCAGGAGGCTCAAGTTGGGCTGCAAGCTTAGGGCGCGGCCTGCCGGGCGGTATAGGCCTCTCTTGCTCGCTTTGCGGAGTGTGAATAAGTCTGACAGAATGACTGACTACCTTGGGGAGGACACCGGCTCCCCACCCGTCCGAGGGAGGCCAGGGCAGCCTGGGTGCCTTCAGAGGGCTCAAGTGCTGCTTAATATCGAACTAACATCCATATTTACTGAATGGTTGCTAGGGGCCAGGGTACCCTCAAGGAGCCCACAGTCTGGAGTATCGATGAAATGCGCATTGATGAAACGATCACACAGGAGTTTAATAACCAACTTTATAAGTGCTCTGAAAGAAAAATAACTGTTATGAGAGGGGCTACCTAGGGGTCCTAACCTAGTCTGCAGTGAGCTGAGATGTGAAGAATAGGTAAGTCAGTAAGTGAGAGGGGAGCACAGTGCTCCAGGCAGAGATTTGAAAGCTCTGAGGAAGGAGGGAGCATAATGGGACCTGGGAACTGGAATTATTTAACACCATGACTGACTAGGTGGGTTCACCAGCGGCCGTTGACAGACTAGGAAGCTGAAGTTCAGAGTTTAGTCAGTTGCCTGCCGTTACACTGTTACTAAATGGTGGGGTTTCAAACCCATGTGTGACTTTTAAGTCTATGTTCTTAACCATAATCTTACGCCACCTCCTCAGATGCAGAGAGATGACTCATAAGCCAGTTCGAGAACAGTCAGTGACCAATATGGGGTGTGCTGATGGTCAGAGTCCTTGAGGTGGGAGAGAGGAGAGCTCCTGAGCTGTCGGGGCCCTGGGGCCACAGAGAGTAACTGGATAGGAGATGAACAGGGTCTGTAGCTTCTGGGAGCTCATAGTGGGGTAGGGAGGACAAAAGTTACACTCTGTTAGCTCTCAGCACATGCTGTAGTGGGTGTCAGAACCGAATGTGCTTGGGCCCCAGAGGAAGAAGTGAGTAACTCTGACTCATGGTGGATCTCCAAGTTTGCAAGAGGAGGAAGAGCATTTCAAGCAGTAGGAACAACATGTGCAAAGACATGAAGTGATTAAGAAAATGGGAAGAGGTTCAGTGCAGCTGAAGGAATTCCAATCCTGTGGAAGAAGTGGGCCTTCAGGATGTAAAGAATTTGAAATGGCGGAAGAGAGAAGAGGGGACAGTGAGACCCAAGGGTAGGGAGTTCCCTTTACAGCTCACCTCAGACACCTACACTCACAAAGGAGAAGAGTGTCAGACTGGCCATTTCAGCTTCATCTTGGCTGTAGAAGTAAAAAGTGGGGGTACGTGAGCCATGGCCGCTGGACCTGCGCATCCGGAACCTGTGCTCCGCAGCGGGAGAGGCCACAACAGTGAGAGGCCCGCGTACCGCAAAAAAAAAAAAAAAAAAAAAAGTGGGGGTGTTACACAATATAGGAAGTTAAATAATTTCCCCTTCCCTATGCAGACAATGAGATGATAAGCTCCTTGAGGCCAGGGCTCGGTTTGTTCTCGTTACCACCCCAAGTGCTTTATAGTTCTTGGTGTGTCACAGGCATTAAATAAATGTTTGTTAGTTGGTTTCCCCAGTGGGTTGGGAAATGGGGTTGAGCATGATTCTAATCTTTGTTACTCCCACTAAACTGTGAGCTCCTAAAGGGCAAAGTTATGTCTTAATCCTCTTAGTACTCCAGGTCCTAGCACAGTGCCAGGTATAGAGAAACTATCAATAAATGCTTGGCAAATAAACAGTAATCCTACCTTCCTAGCCTGACACCCTCCCAGTGGACATGAGATCCCTTTTGAAGCCTTACAAACTCTCCCCACCCATGCTTCCACCCCGGCCTCATGCTGCCATTTCTCACCCCCAGAGCAGGCAGCCCGCCTGAAGAAACTACAGGAGCAAGAGAAACAGCAGAAAGTGGAGTTTCGTAAAAGGGTGAGAACAACTGGAGAGATCAAAGGCAGCCTCAGAAAGGACTTCCAATAAGTTAGAATTGGAAGGTTGAAGAGTCAGTTTGTTTGGAAACTGTCTTGAGAGAGGTGAAACCCAGAAGCCAGTGGCACAGCGGCTGGGAAAGGCGTGGGAGGCCAAGTCCTGTTGGCCCAGCGGGGGAGAGGGATATTTGGGTGGGGCCATCATCTCATACCTTCTTCACTTTTCCCTTTACCAAGATGGAGAAAGAGGTGTCAGATTTCATCCAAGACAGTGGGCAGATCAAGAAAAAGTTTCAGCCGATGAACAAGATAGAGAGGAGCATACTGTGAGTGTCTCTGGGCTGGGGAGGCAAGAAATGGATGACCAAGGAGGCATGAAAGGGCCAGACAGGAGAACCCTCCAGAGGAGGACGCTGGGCCCCCTCGTGGCTCTACATAGTCTTTCCCCTTCGCTCCCCCCTTCCCAGACACGATGTGGTGGAAGTGGCTGGCCTGACATCCTTCTCCTTTGGGGAAGATGACGAATGTCGCTATGTCATGATCTTCAAAAAGGTAAAAGGGGGACCTCCCTGGTGGTCCAGTGGTTAGGACTCTGAGCTTCCACTGCAGGGGGCACGGGTTCGACCCTGGTCGGGGAACTAAGATCCTGCGTGCCGCGCCGCACTGCCCCCCAAAAAAGGTAAAAGGCCTGAGTTCCCCGCTGTCTCCTCTCTCCTTTTCAGCCTGTGCCCCACGCTGGGGGAGAGGAATGAGATAAAACATGTATGTGGAACCTTGACCCCATCATCTCCTTCTTTCCTAGGAGTTTGCACCCTCCGATGAAGAGCTGGACTCCTACCGTCGTGGCGAGGAGTGGGACCCCCAGAAGGCTGAGGAGAAACGGAGGCTGAAGGTGAGTTACGCCTGGCAGTCCCTGGGGCCCTGCAGCCCCCCAGCTGGGAGGGGTTGGGGTCAGGCCCTGAGCTCTGGTGCCCCACCTTGGCACCCCTAGGAGCTGGCCCAGCGGCAGGAGGAGGAGGCAGCCCGGCAGGGACCTGTGGTGGTGAGCCCTGCCAGCGACTACAAGGACAAGTACAGCCACCTCATTGGGAAGGGGGCAGCCAAGGATGCGGCCCACATGCTGCAGGCCAACAAGACCTACGGCTGTGGTGAGGCTGCAGTGGGGGCTGGGAGGGCAGGGCAGAGGAGCACTGGGTGGGGGGAGGGGAGGGAGGCTGAGGCACAGGGCTCCTAGGCCCTCCCACCCTCCCCTCTGCCCCCAGTGCCTGTGGCCAACAAGAGGGACACACGCTCCATTGAAGAGGCCATGAATGAGATCCGGGCCAAGAAGCGTCTGCGGCAGAGCGGGGAAGAGTTGCCATCTACCTCCTAGACACCCCAGCTCCCTGGGGCAGGGCAGAGGGCAGGGAGGGATGAGGCTGCTGCTATTAGAACCCATCCTGGAGCCCCACCTCTGAAGCACCTCCTAACAGCTGTCACTCAGGCTGGGGGAAGCAGGTGTTTGATTTGTCACTGTTGGAGCTTGGATGTGTGTGTGTGTGTGTGTGTGTGTGTGTGTGTGTGTGTGTGTGTGTGTGTGTGTGAATGTACAGGTGGGTATTTAATCTGTATTATTCTCTGTTCTCCCTGGAATTTTCTTCCCCATGGGGCTGGGGTTACTTTACATTCAGTAAACACTGTTTGACCCAATGTCTTGCTTTGTTTGAACAGAGAAAGGTGGGTTCTAGAGAGGAAGAGAAACAATTATAGATTGAACAGTATAAGATTGTTTTTGTGGGCCAAAGATGGCGAAATATTGGCACTTTTGTAGAAATTTATGAGATAGTATTTTAAGAGCACAGTCACTACAGCCAAATGGCCTAGGTTTGGATCCTGGCTCTGCCACTTACTGTTACCTTGGTTAAAGTATTTTACCTTTTCGTGCCTCAGTTTCCTCACCAGTAAAATGGGGATAATAATGGTAACTATCTGATAGGACTGTTTCAAAGATTACATAGGCCGGTATACGTCAAATATTTAGAATACTTTCACATCTTTCAAGCTCCATGGAAATGGTAGCTGCTCTGGTTACACTCTCATCCTCACCAAGCTCTTCGATTTCATAAGGACGAGCACTCGGACTTAACACTGCAGTGCCTTCTGCAGACCGTGCACTTCAACTTATGGGCAGGTCTGATCCAGCTTCCCCCTCATGGTGATGTCAGGCCTTGGCCCCCCACCCTGCTCCCCTTCTCTGGAGCTGGTTCAGTGTTCTGTCAGTTCCTCTTCAGCTTCATTTCACATAATACACCTGCTTCCCCCAGCCTCCTTCCATATTGTGAGCTTTGTGGTTCTAGATCCAGCCCAACTTTCTCTCTGGCCAGTCCCTCACTTCCTCCTTGTCCCAGCAGGTTCCCTGTCCGTTTTCCCTTCCTGCCCCTACTTCTTCACCTCCTGTCTCATCCAGCCCAGAGGCCAGCGTCTCCTCCCTCCCTCCCACAAACGAGCAGGCCACTGCCTTGGTTGGCATCAGTGTTTATTTCAGGAGGAAGGGCTTGAAGGCCTAGATCTGTCCCGTGGAATCCTGGGGCCTCCAGCTTCTCACTTGGCCTTTGGGTTACGGAACTTGTGTCCAGCAAAAACAGCCTTGTCCCCGAGAGCCTCCTCAATCCTGGAAGGCAGACAAAGTCAGGGCTGTGATATTCCAACCCAAGAGCCCTCAGCTCCTTACACCCAGGCCTACTGCACCCACTGTACCTCATGAGCTGATTGTATTTGGCCAGACGCTCTGAGCGGCAGGGGGCACCAGTCTTGATCTGAAGAGGGAAGAGGAATTCCAGGAGTTGTGTGAGACCAGGGACGAGGGATTGGGCCTGGCCCTGAGGGAGCAGCCTGTGGTGGCATTCAACTCTAGGGCAGGAGGCCAGGGATCCCAAGAAAACTCAGTCAGTCGGCAGAGGGGGGGCCACGAGTACCTGTCCTGTGCAGAGCCCAACCACGAGGTCAGCGATGAACGTGTCCTCGGTTTCCCCGGAGCGGTGGCTCACCATCACCCCCCAGCCGTTAGACTGAGCCAGTTTGCAGCTAGGTGGAGAGGACACTCAATAAGGTCCGGTGGGACCTCCTCAGTGGGAAAGCCAGGGGCTAGCTGGGGCTTTTCCCTTCTGTTTTGGGGAGTGGGAGATTTGAGGGGAGGGTGATGACTAAGTTCTTTGGGAAGCAGGAGAAAAGGGGAGATTCTTGATCTTGAATTTGGGCTCCTGAATGCTGGTGGGAAGAAGCAGAATCTGGGAGACAGGGATGGCATAGGGTCAGGGTGGGGATGAGGCATGGCAAGGCAACAATGGCAAAGCTCTTGGGGTGAGGTCAAGAGTTAAAGCCTTGAGGTCGAAAGGGTGGGGTGGGTCAGGAGCCAAGGGAAAGTCAGACTTGGAGTTAGTGGGCAGTACTGTAGCTGGACTGGGTATGGGTGGAGGGAGGCCATGAGGGCCAGAGGCACTCACGCCTGGATGGATTCGGTCACTGAGCCGATCTGGTTGACCTTCAGCAGCAGGCAGTTGCAGGCCTTCTTCTCAATGGCCTGGCTAATCCTCTTGGGGTTGGTGACTGTGAGGTCATCCCCCACGATCTGGATGTTGACCCCCGAGAGGAATGAGGTCCAGGTAGCCCAGTCATCCTGGTCAAAAGGGTCCTCGATGGAGACCACTGGTGGGAAAGGGAAGCAGATTCGGGTTAAAGGTCAGAAGGGCCTCACAGGGGAGTGACAGGTCAGAAGAGTTTGGGTGGAGATTGCAGTGGCGCTAAGGATCGGAAAGACAGTTGGTGGCAGTGGAGATGCCGAAGCCAGTGTGTAGGGCAGCTGCTGGAGACTCAAGCGGGAGCGATGGAACATCCAGGGTCTCACCAGGATAGTTCTTGATGAAGCTCTTATACAGCTCCCCCAGCTTCTCCCCAGTGATGTGCCGTGCGGGGTCATCAGGTGACTTGAAGTCAAGATCATACTTTCCGTGGCGATAGAACTCAGACGCTGCCACATCCATGCCAATCACCACCTTGTCGGGGTAACCAGCCGCCTGGATGGCGGTCTTCAGCAGCTCCAGGGCTGGGGGAGGGAAAGAGGACCTGAGGCTCCGGTGCACCCCGTCTCCATGGGGACCCAAGGGTTCTGCCCCTCCGAGTGCTCACACTGACCTTCATTGTTCTCCAGGATGTTGGGTGCAAAGCCGCCCTCATCACCCACATTGGTGGCGTCCTTCCCATACTTGGCCTTGATGACCCCCTTGAGGTGGTGGTAGACCTCGGCACCGATGCGCATGGCTTCCCTGAAGGATCTGGCTCCCACGGGCAGGATCATGAACTCCTGCATGGCCAGCTTGTTTCCAGCATGGGAGCCCCCGTTGATCACATTGAAGGCCTGAGATGGGGAGAGGGTGCTTAGACCTGGGCATCAATGTGGAATCTTGGATCCCCTACTTACTGAATGGTTTAGGATGAATAATTTTACTCCTCAGAGACTCCTTCCTCATTTCCATAACATGGGGACACCACCTGCTTACCTGCAGGATCTTATGTGTTAAATTAGAGCAACTGGATGTTAAGTTCTTAGCCTGTGCCTGGTGTAGCAGCTAACACTGATATGGCATATGGCACTTACTACAGGCCAGGCACTGCTCTAAGTGCTTTACATATATTTTATTGGCTCATTTCATTCTCAAAACTACCCTGTAACTAGGTACAATTTATTATCCCTCACTTTACAGCTAAGGAAACTGAGGTACAGAGAGATTAAATAAACTTGCCTAAAATCACACAACTAGTAAAGGGACAAAACCAGCATTCGAACCCAGCAGCTTGTCTCCAGAGCTCAGGCTCTTATACAATCTAGCCAGTAAGTAACAATAAATGGTAACATTATTATTGCAATGAAATTCAAAGGATTTCCATAAAGAGCAAATTTGGTTTGATAAGTATTAAAGAAGATACAAAAATAAAATGCCAAGATCTTTGCCATGAAGAAGCTCTCGATCTGATTTGGGGTTGGGGCACAGGGCAGAATGAGAAATTGGAGTTACTGAGCCTGGGATTGGAATGTGAAGGAACCCGGTTACATCAAGGGAAAGAGGCAGAGAGAGGTTAAAGGGAAGGTTTGGATTGTGGGAAAGGAGGCTGGACCGCAGCAGGAGAGCTTCCATTTCAGAAAACCATTTCTTTGGAGCTGGGTCTGAAAGGTGGACTTTCCAGGGGCTGCTTATGCCCTCCCTGCTGGGTGGGGTCACCGTGGGATGCGGCGGGGCAGCTGCACTCACAGGGACTGGGAGGATCAGGTCTGGGTTCCCGGCGAGATCTGCAATGTGTCGGTAGAGTGGGACCCCCTTCTCAGCTGCTCCGGCCTTGCACACGGCCAGGGACACACCCAGGATGGCATTGGCCCCAAACTTGGCTGGAGGAAGCAAGTACAAAGAAAGTGTGAGAGCGCCTCACACAGGGTTTAGGGTCAGCTCCTAGAACATCCCTTCTGGTCACCCCAGAAAGAATCCAGAACTCCAAACCACTGGGCACTGAGTTTGTTAACAGATCTCTCCCCAACAGCCTGAGGTGCTCTGGGAACACCCAGCCCAGGGGAATGTGTCGGCTTCACGGCTGTGTCCACAGCCTGGCCCAAGCCTCGCACAGGGCAGGCATCAGGAAATGCCTGTGTGATGAATACAAATCCAGCCAGTTACGGTGTGCCCCAAAATGCGAGACACAGAAATAATCCTAACCAGACCTCAGTCCGCGGTCTCTCCCCCGCCCCTCCCACAGCCCATCCCGTCCCCTGTCCCTAGCCCTTCACTCACACTTATTCTCTGTCCCATCCAGCTCAATCATAAATTTGTCAACTTTTTCTTGATCCACCACGCTTAGTTTCTGGAAGGGCAGGTTTGAGGAGGGGAGAACAGAGGTTAGATTTCTCAGGAGTCAGGGCATGTGCTGGAGGAAAGAGAAGTGCAGGTATTTGGGGCAGATGGGATGGTTGGCCAAGCCTGAGCTGCTTGGGACCAGGTAGCAGGTGAGGGGGAGAGAGGGTCCTCCACTTGCCTTTTCCAGCAGTGCGGGGCCTAGAGTCTTATTGATATGTTCCACGGCCTTCAGGACCCCTAGAGGCCGAAGCAGGGGGTTCAGATCTTCTATTCAATTAGGTCTCTTCCCATGGCCCCCAGCTCCTCAAGAGCTTTGGGTTCCCGTCCTCTACCCTGTGCAGACATCGCATACCACGTCCTGAAACCACCCCATTGGTCTTTCCTCACCTTTCCCCAGGTAGCGAGATTTGTCTCCATCTCTTAGTTCCAGAGCTTCATAGATACCTGTGGAAGCTCCACTGGGCACAGCTGCTCGGAATCGGCCTGAGGTGGGAGGAATTGGAAGATCACAGAGAGTCAGTCCCATTCACCCCCCCAAAGGACTGATTGTCTCCTCTCTGAGCCCAGGGGCAGGAGGCAGTGTAGAGAGACTCGTGCTGCTCCCTGCTGGGGAGCAGGCTGGGAGAGGGGATCCCAGAGAAAGGAGTGGATGTGGCATAGAGTTGGGGGGCAAAGGCAGATGGAGTTGGGGTCTTCCCAGGTAAACCCATTCAATGGGCCTGTGTTACCCTTGGCCGTGTGCAGGTCCACCTCCACTGTGGGGTTGCCCCTGGAGTCCAGGATTTCTCGGGCAAAGATTTTCTGCATGGCCATGGCTGCAGGGCGAGAGGTGTGAGTGCGGACCGTTGACCCCTTAAGGAACCCGAAATCCCTTGCCCTTTAAGAGTCTTCCCGCCCCAAGAAGGCAGGTGCTGGAGCTAAAAATATCCCACAAAAAGGTCACAGACCAAAGTGGCAGGCGCAGCCCCTCCCCCACTCAGAACAGCTCCCATTCCACTCTCCCGTCTTAAGAATCTGGAGGCCTCTCTTAAAACTCCACTACTTGCTCAACCCCACCTCCTGCAAAGCTGCACTTCTGCCTTCTCCCTCCACCCTCTGGCCAAGTACTCTGTTCTCCACGGATTCCTAGCCCTCGGATGCTCTCCTGTTAGTCTACCTCATTTTCCTGCTCCTCAGCCTTCTCCAAATCCTCAGGGGCCCCAGATTCCCCCACCTGGCTCCAACTGTAACCACGCTTCTCCATCGTCTCTGCCTGCCTCTCTTCACAGTCTCGTTTGTTTCCCTGTCCTTGGGCACCCCCATCCTGCTTACTCCAACCCCTCCAGGCTTCTCAAGCACCCCCAGTCCCAGAAGGAAAAGAATGCTGATATTTCCCCCCCTTCTCCTAGCGGCACCACCCTCACCTTTTACCACCCCTATCCCCCGGGGCTGAAAGATTCACCAGACCTGGGATTTCTTCGCTGGGCTCCTGAGTCTAGGTGGCAGCTGGGACAGTGTCAGCTCACCCCCTCTCAGGCTGGGCATTTATCCTCCAGCCACCCTGTACCCCAGCCAGCCCCGCCTCTCACCCTCTCCATCTCCCCCTCCAGCCCAGCTGGCAGCCAAGTGCCCACTATAGCCTAAAACAGAAGCCTTTGGCCCTAGACACCTGCCCCCTTCCCAAAAGATCAATGACTACCCCCTCCTTTCTGTTCCCCAATAAAAGTCCTTATTTTTAATTCCACTCCTGGGGAGAAACAGGGGAGGGGCTCTCCTCTCCCCAGGATTATATTCCTCTTTTGCAAAGGTTAAAGAGGAACGAGTGCCCTTTAGGAAAGGCCAGGGGTAACCTGAGTCCTGCAGGACTGGGGAGGGGGCCTGGAAGAGGGGCTGCAGGAACGACATCCACACGTGCACAGCTCACTTGGAGGGCGGGGGGCTGCCTCTGTCCTCAATGGGGGCAGGGGCAGGGGGTTCTGGGCAAGCTCTGAGCTCTAAAATTGAACTCCCCACTCAGAAGGTGAGAGAGTCTCACCTCTCAGGGTCCCCATTGCGGCCTCCCTCGGCTCCACCCCACCCTACCCTCTCTCGGCCAGCAAGGGCAGTGGGGGAAGGGACAGGCTGACGAATTTAGACAGGCCCTCAGAGTTGGCGCGGCGCCCTACTGATAGCGCTAGGACAGCACTTATCGCCCTGCGAGGAGAGTCAGGAGCCCTTTCCCCACCGACCGCGGGCGCTTCAGGTCGTGATCCCAGCCCATCAGTGAATGATGCTGAATCAAAAGTGAAAAAAATGAATGGACGAGAGGAGGGGGTGGCCCTTTCCGAGCGTCTGACCGCCGGGGGCCAGTCGGGTCGTCGGCTAGCAGCATTGAAGGGAAATGAGTCTCTGCACTCGGTGACTCTCTCCGCCTCGTCGGGCCTGGCGGGAGTGAGGTCTGCCCCGACTTTGGCTGCAGCCCTTGCCGGGAGCTGAGGGCACGCCCGGGCTCCGGCCGTCCGGCCGGCGAACGACGGTCATCGGCTTCCCTGCTCGTCGCCCCCGACTCGGAAGACCTTCCCGCCGGCGCCGCCGCGGCCGGCGCCCAGTGACTCAGCCCCGGGCTCTCTCCCGAGCTCCCCTCCCCGCCCTGCCTGCCCCACGGTGTGTCTCCCAGCCCCCACCTCAGGATCCCTACCCCCGGTCTTCCATCTCGCCCTCCCCCCCCTTATCTCTGGCCGCTCCCTCTCCGGAGATTTCCACCCTAGGGAAGGGGGTGCGGCAGGCCAAGGGTCAGGAGACGGCGGGGGGGAGCGCCGCCACGTGCCCGCATGAAGCCCCGCCCGAGCCGCCCAGTGACTCAGCCACCGCGGCTGTCGAGGAACACGGGTTCGGGGAGCGTGGATGCCCCTGGGGTTCGGAGTGGCCGCGAGGGCACCACGTCCACTGGCGAGGACCCGAGAGGAGCGGAGCCCCTTCCCGCCCGGGAGGCGCCCTCCCCTGAGGGACCGGAAGTGGCCAAGCCCCTCAGCTGCCCGGGCGGCCAGCAAGGGCTAGTGCACCTAAGCAGGCCGCCGGGTCCTGCCCCACCCTCTTCCCGGTGGGCGGTGAGTGAACTAATCGCACACAAGTTCTTACCATAAGTTTTACTGAAAAAGGAGAAAAAACTTAACGGGCCAACGTAGAAGGGACTTTCCCCTTCTTGAAAAAGTTGCAATCTTGAAACCGCTTAGTATTCTTCCGCCTTGAAAAATAAGCCCGCCCATCTCGCCCCACGGTCGCTCCGTGACCTCTGCAGAGACGGGCCAAGGGGCACGGCCGGTGACCCAAACTGCTGACCGGGGGACGGGCGGAGCTGTGACGTGGGGGTGAGGCCTGAGGCTGGAGTTGATCCAGCGCGAGGGATAATCCCCTGGAGTCGAGGTGGGCTCCAGCCAGTGCCACTTGTGCCGCCCGGGTAGATGCTGGGGACAGAAGTGTCCCTGGTGGATGCCTTCAACTCTGAAAACGGCCGGGGTATTTTGCCAAATTTCCCTTTACTCCCTTATTTCTTGAATAAATAAAATCAAGGGGGGGGGCAGAAGCGGCAATGCGCACGCCTCGCCCCCGCCCCTTCCGCCCGGCGGGAGACACGTCCCCGGCCGGCCTTCCTTCGCAGGGGGTCCAAATCCGTCCCGCCCGGTGCGCCCAGGCGTGCGCCCGCGAAACCAGCCGCCAACCCTAACCGCGCCACGCGCTTTCCCTCCCGGCCCGGGCGCAGGCGCGGGCGCGGGCGCAGGCGCCGCCGCCGCCGCCGCCGCCCGCCGTTCCTTTCCCCCAACACCCCCCTCCCCGGCAGAGGTGGGGGAAGGGGGAGTCATTCCGTTTAACCCTGAGTTACCCGAACCCTCTTTAATTTGCTAAATTTGCAGTTTGCTAATAATTTCTCTTTTCACTTTCCTTCCTCCCTCTGGCTCACTCCCTTTCCGTACACCGAAGTCTGACTGATATTCTATGCGAAGTGGAGGGAGCCCTAACCCTAACCCACCCCCGCCCCCCATCCTTTTTGCGTCGCTTTCCATCGAACTCTGCAAATTTTGCAGTTGGGGGAGGGATTTTTAAAATTGCACTTGCAAAGTTCGCTATCTGGGCAGGCAAGGAGAGGGAGGGAGGGAATGGGGAGCAGGCCCCGCCCCCACCGCCCTTTGCAAATAAAAATCTAGGGGGGTGGGGAGGAGCAGGAAGTGGCGGTGCGAAGGCTGATGCACTGCTAGCAGAGCCGCGGTCCGGACAGCAGCGCGTGCCCCAAGCTCTCCGCCTTCCCCCGCCCGCCAGCCCGAAGCAGCCCGAGCCCAGCCCGTGGCCCCAGCAGCAGCCCCGAGAGCACCCCAGTAGCAGCGCCATGGCCGGCTGGAACGCCTACATCGAAAACCTCATGGCGGACGGGGTGTGTCAGGACGCGGCCATCGTGGGCTATAAGGACTCGCCCTCCGTCTGGGCCGCCGTCCCCGGGAAGACCTTCGTCAACATCACGGTACTGCGAGGCCTGCGCGGAGACTGGCCGGGCTTGCACCCTGAGGGAGGGACTTGGGTGGTGGCGGGCGCGGTCTGGGGAGGGCAGCGAAAGGCCGTGACCCGGTCCTTGCCCTGGAGGTGGCGCGAATGGCGGCTGCACGTGAGCGGGTCCCTCCGTGGCCTCCTGAGTCCTACGCCCCGGGCTGCGGCGCCCAGCCAGCCCGCCGCTCCGCTTTCCGCGACGGGGCGTTACATCCGGGACACAGGGCGGGGAGGGGCGCACCGCCCGGTGCGGCGGCCCACTTCCGCCTCCTCCAGGGTGGGTCGGGCACGCACCGCAATTTCCGCTCGGGACTGTGATTGAGAAGGGACTTGGGGACCCCTGGACCCCCTAGCTCTACTTCCGGCCGCCAGCTCGCGCCCCCTCCACCATTGTTCCTCCTTCTGGGGGAGGGAGCCCCAGTCGCATGGCCTGGGTCCCATGCCCGTCCTCCGTGAGCTCCCTGCCCCTCCCAACTCCGTAAGAGAGGGCTAGGCCGCCACACGACCTCCCCCCACCCCAAGTCGGCACGTTGGACTCAACATTCCTGTGAAGCCAGCCCCGGAAGTCCCCTCGCCCTCCTTTCCCGCCATCCGGCGGGGCCTGGAGCAGGGAAACTTTGTGAGAAGTTCTAGGACAGTATATAAGTGAAGGAATAAGGGACGACTACAGCTGTCCCCATCACCACCTCCTCTGTCCACACTGCCCGGAAGTGGGGAGGGGGAGCGGAAGTTCGAAATGGGGGGGAAGGGGATTTCCGGGCGGGAGGGGACCGGATGTGGGGATTTGGGGTGTTAAGGGGGAGGGGGAGATACGTTCCCTGGGGTATCTAGACCCGAGGGCTGGCTTGCCGGGTCTAGTCCCAGGGGCCCTCCAAAAGTTTTTCAACTTTCCCGGAAAGCCCCCAGGCATCTGCTTCCTCATCTTAGAGCATAAATACCTGGATCTAAACTCTAGGTTACTTGGAGACCCAGGCGTCCGGGCCCCTAACAACTCCTGCAGAACCTTTGACCAAATAAGGGCAAAGTTGCTTCGCCTGCTTTGCCCGCCCCCTCCCTTTCCCTCTTCGCTTCTGCTTTTCCTGAAGGAGTTCTGAGCATCCAAAGGCTCCCCACTCCATTCCACTCCATTCTCTTAACTGCTTTTTGGCCCCCTTTATTTCCTGGGTTTGCTTTCCTTATTAAACGACATCTAAGCCTTCAGAGGAATATGTTGTCCCTTCTTATTACCGTTCTCTAGGTTTGAAGATCATGATCTTTTTGTGTACTAACTTCCAACAGTCCTGAGTCTCTCAAATTTCACGGATGTGTACAAAGCACATAACATACACATCTCCCCCCCTGGGGGTTTAGCTTCCCGGAGAAATGGAAGGCAGGTGGGTCCTTGGATAAGAAAAAGGTGGGAACCTTGGTGTACTGACTAACTTGATGGGTGCTTGATTCCCCTTCCAGCCAGCTGAGGTTGGTACCCTGGTTGGCAAAGACCGGTCAAGTTTTTTCGTGAATGGGCTAACGCTTGGGGGCCAGAAATGTTCTGTGATCCGGGACTCACTGATGCAGGAAGGGGAATTTACCATGGATCTTCGTACCAAGAGCACCAGCGGAGCCCCCACCTTCAATATCACTGTCACCCTGACTACCAAGAGTGAGTTTGAGTCTTACCCTTTCTTTAGCTCCAAAATCTCTAATATACTTCCATCTATTAATTTTTTGGGTTCTTCTGTGTGGATCACCCAGTATGAAGGGACCAGACCAGGTTTCTACTCCCGGCCTGCTGGATGCTGGGACATTGGATTGTCCCTTCAGTTCTCAGTTCCTCATCTTACAATGTAAAGAAGTTGAACTGTATTACCTCTTAAGTTCCTTCTTGCCTTGAGCCTTTTCACATGAGAAACTTCTTATTTTCTTGGAGGAGGTAGGCTGTTAGTCATAAGCCAGCACTTAGCTCTTGTGTTTTGAGCTCTTTTCTTAAAACTTGGAGGTGGCAGGCTCATCCACAGCCGTTTCTAGCCTGAACACATGAGTCAACACATTGTCCACAAGCCTTTGACCCCTAAATTTTACTGTGTTCCTTTCCAGCCTTTAAGCTTGATTTTCCTCTTTTGAAAAGCCCTATTGTTTCAGGGTGACTGACAGCCTGCCTGTGTGTGGGGGGGGTTGGGAGAGATGAGGTTGGGTTACAGCCCCCAGGGCTGGACAGCTGCTGAACAGCTGGCCGGGGGTGGGATTGTGACACCTGGGTTCTAGCCTCCTTTCTCTTTCCTCCAGCGCTAGTCCTGCTGATGGGCAAAGAAGGTATCCACGGTGGTACGATCAACAAGAAATGTCATGAAATGGCCTCCCACCTGCGGCGTTCCCAGTACTGACCTCGTCTGTCACTCCCCACTGCTTTTGCACCCCTCTCCTTCCCACACACACATACACCATTTTTATTTTTTGGGCCATTACCCCACACCCCTTATTGCTGCCAAAACCACATGGGCTGGGGGCCTGGGCTGGATGGACAGACACCCTTCCCCCAACTCATACCCCTCCTGTGTGTGGTTGGAAAACTTTTTTTTTTTTGGTTTTTTTTTCCTGAATAAAAAAGATTATACTGAAAAGGTGCTGTGTGGTTTTAGCCTGGGTGTCAGGATGGAGGACAGCCACTGTGATCTGCCTCCATCCTGGCTTGGGGTCAGAAGCAGCAGAAGGGTTGAGGCACTACAAAGTCTAGGGTTTTGAGCTTGCTTTCATGTCCAGGATTAAACACCTGCTTCAGGCCTACCTGGCCAGGTGGGCCAGCCCTACCTAGGTCCTCAGTGTGCTAACTGAATTGGTGGATAATGGAATAGAGCCATCCAGACCAAGAGGATGGGTCCAGGCCTGCGGGCAAGGCAGAGGCCAGTTGAGTCATCCTCACACGTGGGTGGGGCTCCCCTTCTCAGAATCACAGCAGATGCCTATTGGGGCTGCCCTTAAGACTACAGGTTAGGGCTTCCCTGGTGGCGCAGTGGTTGGGAGTCCGCCTGCCGATGCAGGGGACACGGGTTCGTGCCCCGGTCTGGGAGGGTCCCGCATGCCGCGGAGTGGCTGGGCCCGTGAGCCATGGCCACTGAGCCTGCGCTCCGCAACAGGAGAGGCCACAACAGCGAGAGGCTGGCGTACAGCAAAAAAAGAAAAAACAAAAAACTACAGGTTAGCCTCCCAGCACTCCCTTGCCCATGTATGGCAGAAAGGGGCAATGCCCCAAAAGGATAAGAAGTTTACCTGTGTGAGAATGATCTCACCCTTAGTCCACAAAAACAATTTTATTAACCCAATAAATGAAAACCCCATCCCTTTGTACCCCCAACCCCTTCAAGAGGATAGAGTTGGGTAAGGGAGAAACCTGGGGTGGAAACGACTCCTATCCCTCGTCTCCTATCCCTCAGCGTAGAAGACAGTAGAGAGAAAGAGGAGCTGTGCAAATAGGTCATCAGAGATGGAGGGGAAAGGGGACTACTAGACCAGGATGGCAGCTGCAGAGGTAGAGGATGAGGGGTCTGTGGAAGACCCAGGAAGGACTAGGGGAGCTGGGGCTAGAGAACCAAAGGAGGTGGGAGGGGTGGGGGTGCAGCCCAGAAGTGGGGTCCGTTCGGAAGCAGGGTGGTCCCTTGGCTCCCCTTCCTCGTCACCCTCTTGCCCCTGGGTTTCTTCCTCCTGCTCCTCATCCCCAGGACCCCGATGAACAGGCTGCTTGCAGATGGGGCAGGTCTTCCGGGTCTGAGTGAGCCAGGGGTCCACACAGCGGATGTGATAAGCTGCCAAGAGGAATGAGGTGAAGGACGTGGTGCCTGCTGGTGGGGGGGGGGGGCACGGGCACAGGAAGTGAGGGCCTCACCGTGAGCACAGGGGAGCACCCTCAGCTTGTCCCCATCCTCATATTCATCCAGGCAGATGGCACACACATCATACTGGTCTCCTGGTGGAAGAAGGAGTTCTTTTACTGAGCCATTCTGGACCAGGGCCCACAAGAACTCACTCTGAGAGGCCTGTGGTGGAGCTAAACCCTGCAAAAGTTATTTTCTCTGGTTCTACAGAGCCAGTGGAAAAGCTGAGACCGGAGCAGGGTAGAACATGAGGAATCCGGGGTTAGAACAAGTAAAGAGAAACAGAGGTAAGAAGGGAAGTGGGTTTTTTGGGGGAGGTGTGAGGCTGGAGAGAGAGGGGGTGGGAGGAGCAGAAATGGGGCAGCGCTTCTGCCATAGCCTTATATGGGCACTGGAGGCTCCAGTGCCTAAGACCCAGCCCCTCCTTACCTGTGTCTGCCTTCTCTGGCGGAATCTTCCCCACTCCTTCCATTTTTCTGCTTTCTCCACCTTCTCTCTTATGAGCAAGGTCCTCCACCCACCTCCAACCCCAACTATTACATTTAATCATTTTTGCTTTACATTTCCTGCTCTAATCCTGTCCTGTCCTCATTGTACGTATGCGTAAAAAGAGGAGCAAAGGTGGTATCTCAAGCTGACACCTCCCTGCCATCTCTGCCTCTTTTCTCCTGGGCTCCAACTCCTTCAGAACCAGGGAAATAGTGGGAAAGGCCTGCTCTCCTCCACCCTCCTCACCCTTCTGATAGTCATGTGTAGGAATCTGTTTCAGTTGCTCTTTGGTCAGTCGATTCCTCTGGAGCCGTTTCCTGTGCTGGATACAACGAACTATCTGGTGAAAGGGGGGGTGGATGGATCAGTCTTAGAGAACAAATCTGGACAATCCCATACAAACCAGCCCTATCTTGCAACCCCAGAGCCAGTCTGGCTTTAAAGGCCTCAGCTCTTCCCGTCTTGGTCCCTGAACTACTCACCATCACTGCTCCCATGGCCAAAACCAGCAGTCCCACGATCCCTGTGAAGGGGATGAGGTAATAGCCCAAGGGGAAGCTATTGTCTGGGACCAGAAGCACCCGAGCCCTGGGAAAAGGAAGACGAATATCAGAGGGGCAGGAAAGGCAAAGAGACAAAGGAAGAGGGACAAAGTAACTGGCTCTGGACAGGGCCCACGGAGGGGGAAGGGGATGGGAAGAAAGTACCAAGAGGCAGAGCATGATGGGCCTGAGGCTGGATGGTTGGGGCACGGGCTTGGACTCCAGGTTGGCATGGAAGTGCTGAAGGAAGAGTGGGAAGGAGGGACACGTCCTACCCCTTCTCGTAGACAAAGAGGGCACGCAGGTACTCGGAGCTTCTCTCCCCAATAAACACAGACGGGATCCAGATCTGCTGCTGGATTTCCTCTGCAGGGATTAGGGCATTACACTGGGGACCCAACATTCCACATGAATCCTTTGGTAACTCTGGCATTTGACTCTCTTGCCCCATTCCACCTAAAGGACTGATTTCTTTTCCCTAAGGCTTCAGCCCTCCCGCCATCTCTCAGTCTAAGCTCTACTGAAAACCCAGCTGTCCAGATCCTCCAACCTTACCACTATTCCACACCATATTCAGAAGTTCATTGGAATTCACATTGTGTACCACAGCTGCACCATACCCAGCCTTCTGAGCATTTAGGACCTAGGGAGACAAGGCAGATAAGGAGCCATCATGGGCCTTGCCACCTTTCATTCCTGGTGCCTTTTTTACCCTCAGCCTCCCAGCTCCCACTCCACATTCAGCAACCTTGAGGTCAAAGTTGCAGTCGAATCTTCGAAGCAGTGCAATAAAGACTGACCCGTTGACCGGGGCTGGGGGTGGTGGGGCAATGGGACTGCAGGCATTGTCTGGGTGAGCCTCCACAAGGAAGCCCTGGAGAAGAGAAGCAAACAACAGCTGGATTTCATCTCCCTAGGTGCTGCTCCCCACAGGTCCCACCAAGCACAATGGCCCCCACAGGTCAGTGGGGTCTGAGCCCACTGGGGTCTGAGCTCATTCCTGGGGTCTGAGCTCATTCCTGGGGTCTGAGCATCCCACCAAAGTCAGACATCTACCTCTTCTCTTAGCCTCCTGAAGATGCAATTACATCAAACAACATCCCTTTCCCACACCCTCCATCATCCCTCTCCCTTTCCCAGATGAGCTAATATATACTCCACATTCCTAGCTAATTGTTTTGCCTTCCAGTTTCCCACTGATTGTAATTCAATTCTCCATTCATCCACGTCACTTTCTCAAGTTGTTTCACATTCCCTGCTCTAATACATACTCTTAGGGAACATATTCCCTTTTTTTAAAAATACACAAGACCAAACCCAAATGGAGTTATTTGTGCCAACTCCCATGTCACCAAATTCAATACTTAATTATAATTTTAGCCTCCCCCAGGAATGGAATCTTAAACCACTCTATCTGGAATTACTTGGTCAGCACTAGTGAGGTAATCTGCCTGGTAGACCCCTGCAGTCCCCTAAAGAAAGGAGATCTTTGCCACTAGCAAAGAAAATCAAATCTTTGCTAGTATAACTTCCTTGCCCCACCCCCTTCTGGCTATAAGTCTTTCATTTTGTATAGTTCTTCAGAGATCCTTTCTGTCTGCTAGGTGGAATGCTGCCTGATTCATGGGTCATTAAATAAAAGCCAGTAAGAGCTTTGAAATTTACTCAGTTGAATTTTTTTAACACCTCCCTTTAATTTTCCAATTACCCATCTCACAAACAACTATACTGATATCTATGGCCCAACTGAGTTCTTGCTATGTGGCAGTCTTTGTGAAAAACTACTACAAAACTGCTTATCTAATTCTCACAATAATACATCTGATAACTTCTATTATCCCATTTTACAGTAAAACCAACTAAGGCTCAGGTAATTTGCCCAAGGTCATAAAACCAGTAATTGGCTCTAGAGACCCTATTGATAGTCACCACTCGTCCTGCCTTTTATCTTAGTCCACTTTCAGTCTCCCTTCTAAGGCTCAGAGTTCTAGAAGTAGACTTTGTATTCTCCCTCCAGATTCTGGATTCCACCACACTAGATGTGTTCTTGTACTTAGTTCCTAACTTGACTCTCTTCCTACCTCCAGCTTACCCCAAGAAAGGCTCCTCAACCCCTACCCAGCAGGGAGAATTCAGGGAAACAGGAAAGAGGGAAGAAAATCACCTGAAGTCCCTCCTGGCTCAAGGCAGCCCCAAAGAGAGCTGGGAGGTCTGCAAAGTCCATGCTGGCATTGTGGTCCGAGATCTGCGGATAAAAGAGTCCATGTTTGTCCTTCAGCCTGCAACCTCTCCCTTCAGCGCCCTTCCCCTAACGTCCCCTCAGACTCACCGCTCGAATGAGCCCCCGGGTGGGGGCCGCTCCCCACAGCACAGTGGCCACAACCACAGGAAGCGGGAAGGCCGCAGGGTGCATGGCAGCGCGAGGGGAGAGGCGGAGGAGGCCGCGTCCCGATAACAGGAGCAGAAACGGAGTTCTGCGCCCTCTCTTGCCCTCCTTCAGGATCCCAGGGGTCCAACCACCCCCAGGTCCCACTTCCCAGCTACATGGGGGCGCGGGGAAGGACCCCCGACTCGGGGAGTGAGACAGCCAACCCGTTTAATGAAGCTGGGAGGGAGACACCAAAAATACCCCTTTCTGGTACAGGAATAATACGTGGAAAGGGAACGGAGGCAAGCACAGGTGACAGAAAAACTTCTGGAAGGGTGGGGGAGCTCAAGGA